GAGCGGCTGCAGCCTCTGCCCGCGCCGTCGGGCACCGTCCGCCGGGCGGTGCGTACTGTGCGCCGGCCGGACGCGACCCGATTGGCCGACTGATGGCTCCTGTGCGACGTGACGGCCGAGGCGCTGATTCGCGGCGCCAGGGCGCGGGGGCCGAGGTGCGGCGATGACGTCCGCGTCGCGCCCAGTCCCAGGACAATGCCGAACCCAACGCGGGGGAGAGCGGACGCAGGGCAATATTCGCACGTGCGGTGGAGAGGCGTGCGAGACAGAATTCTGAAAAAGCAAGCACTGGACGAAGGAAAAGCTGGCTTGAAGCACTTTTACTGAAGCACCATTGCCAAGCAACGGACTCGTACACCGATGACGGATGAACCGATGTCTTCCGCGTCGACACCACTGGCAGCAGCATGCTCGTTGCCATCACTGGCAGCACGCTCGCCGGCCGTTCACCCGGCAATCACACCGCCACCAGCCGGCGGTGCGGGGGGTATGCCGACCCCCCCCCCCCCCCGTTGTGAGTGCACGATCGGCCCGGCCCGACACTTATTTAAATTATCAAATTTGCTAAGAAAAATGATGGCCAGCCGGATCCTATAGCCAACCCGAGACGAGGCATCAATTACGAGCGGCCACACTTCACCCTGACGGAAATTTTAAGATGAGGCCCTTTTATAACCTGTATCAGACTTAGCGCTGCTGTCGACAACAGCCCAGAGGCAACGCCGGCATCACCACATCTGTGTCATGCTGAATGGAGACAAGGTTATAATCCTTCAGGTACAGCCTGCGCCAATGCATCTGCATGGCCGGGATACAAGGTGAGGTGCGCTAAACAGCTGATGACACGCCCCGGAAAAACACCTCGAAGCACGTACTTCAAAGGCACTCAGTTAAACGTGCCGTGCTGGACAGTAAGACTGCAAGCCATTCTAAGGGCTTAAGACTGGAAGCGATTCCGAAGGATCAAGTCAGCTTTGTAAAAATGGGCTATTGCTGGATTTCCCCCAATACATAAAGGCGTACTTTCCACTCTTTTGCTCAATTTGTTTTCACTCTTCTCGATGCGACTTAATGTTTACATCAGTTGGAGAACTCCTGTTCGACCTGCCACGCCAGCGTGCTTTTTGGCTCAACGTGGAAATGTCTCAACCTGAGTTTTGTTGCTTTTGCAGTTGTCAATGTCCAAGTCGGCACAACTCGTGACATTGTGTTTCGGTCACGAATCTACAATCCGACAGGAGCTAAGGTGGGTTTTATGTTATGGCTCATTAAATAAGTGTTCAACATAGAAACTTCGTTGTTTTATTACATTTAAAAAGAGCTATAAATTCAGGGCTCAGAACATTAGATGGTGAATGCAACTAGGGCTAGGAGCGCCTAGTTCACGGCAATTCATGGCGTCTGGCGACACATCTAAACTTAAAGGTGAATTGCCTTCGATATAACTCGCCCCGACATCCGCCAGGCACTTCGAAAGTCTTGGCTCAGAACCAGGCTCGAACCCAGCTTCAATGAACACACGATGTATAGACAAACACTCTCTCAATCAATATATGCCACCCCCCAGTACATAGTTTGCAGTAAGCTGAAGCTGGTTAGAACCAAAAATTATTCTCAGGCTTCGCCTGAGCCGTCTGGTACCCCGTGCTAGGCTTCGCCTGAGCCGTCTGGTACCCCACGCTAACGTCTCTAAGTTTTCCGCCATTTTCCGCAACACAGCGTGCAACCGCTCAAAGGACTAACTTTCAGTTAAACTTACACGTAAACCAAATCGACTGCAGAGAAAAAGACGCGGTTACGAAATAACGACCGGACCAACCACTTATACGCGCAATTAGGTATTTGTAGTTTCTAGTTGTGATGTTGGAGTTGTTACTTCCATGTTTGATTCCGGCCCGTCCGAGGTGTCTTCTGGCGCAATGGCGCGGCGCGGCACGGCCAGCGTGCCTGGCCGACACAGGGACAGGCGGGCCCGGCGCGGCACGGCCAGCGTATATCGTCGACACAGGGACAGGCGGGCCCGGCGCGGCACGGCCAGCGTGTATGGTCGACAAAGGGACAGGCGGGCCCGGCGCGGCACGGCCAGCGTGTCTGGTCGACATGGGGACAAGCGGGCCCGGCGCGGCACGGCCAGCGTGTCTGGTCGACACAGGGACAGGCGGGCCCGGCGCGGCATGGCCAGCGTGTCCGGCCGACACAGGAACAGGCGGGCCCGGCGCGGCACGGCCAGCGTGTCTGGTCGACACAGGGACAGGCGGGCCCGGCGCGGCACGGCCAGCGCGTCTGGTCGACACAGGGACAGGCGGGCCCGGCGCGGCACGGCCAGCGTGTCTGGCCGACACAGGGACAGGCGGGCCCGGCGCGGCACGGCCAGCGTATATCGTCGACACAGGGACAGGCGGGCCCGGCGCGGCACGGCCAGCGTGTATGGCCGACACAGGGACAGGCGGGCCCGGCGCCGTCATTGGCGCCCATACATGGACAGGCCGAGCCCGGCAGCAGCCTCGCTGCCGCCGCCGAGGGGACAGGGAAGACCCGACACGGCGGTGCGGGGCGGCGCCCGGCCTCGGACGCGTGACGGGCTGCCGGTCGGCTCAGCTCAGACAGGTGGGTAGTTTGGCTCAGCTCAGCCAGGTGGGTAGTTTGGCTCAGCTCAGCCAGGTGGGTAGTTTGGCTCAGCTCAGCCAGGTGGCAGTCTGGCTCGGCTCAGCCGGGCGGGTGGTCTGCGCTGGCTGAATGGTATCGGCAGTAGTTTGCATACCCACGCTGGCTCTGAGTGGCGTAGGCTGGCAATGCAGGCGGCTCTAGTCGCCCGTAGCCAATATCCACAGGGCTTCAGCAGCAGTTCAAAGGCAGCGGAGATGTTTTGAACGGCCAGGCCAGCAGTCCAGACAGCCAAGACGATACGCTCTACGAGCCTATTCAAATCGAACGTGTCTGAGCTAGCAGAGCAGTTCTTGACGAAATCGGGGCTATTCGAAAGGTCCCGGCAGCCGGTCCAGACCGTCTGCACTTCGCTACGTTATGGTGATTTGATGAGTGTAATGCGAAGCTGGAGAGAAGTCAGAGCAGAAGCGTCCGGTGACACAAGGCCGTCTCACATGCTCACGACTACGATAGGTTCGAATCTTGTCATTGGCTGAGTTTCAGTCTGTCCCGCACAAATCGGCGCCGACGGTCGCATCAGCCACACGCGTCGTCCTGCGGGTGGACTCGGCCGGACTCCGGCCGAACTCCTCTCGGCGGCCGGAGCCGGCCGACAGGCGCGGGACGGCCGCGCGGACCGCCCCGGTCGTCAGTCCGGGCGGCCGTGATGAGTGGCGGCCGGCGGCCCGTATTGAGCGGCGCCCTGCCGCGAGGACAGCAGGCCGCCGCGGCGGCTCCCCGCGACTGGCTGGGCACTGGCGCCGCGACCGCCGGCCGCCGCCGCACCTGTCCGTGTTAAGCAGTGATGCCGACACGGCTGGAGGCGAGGTCAATCGATACGCTGCCCGAACTAAGCATGCTGTCTTCGGCCGACGTGCCGGCCCGTGACGGTGCGCCGGCGGTGCGCTCGCGTACGTCCCGTTCGCTCGGCCCGTCGCAGGGCGGCTTCAGCGGTGAGCGGCGGTCGCCAGGCTGCGCGGCGCGCAACGCCGGCGGTTTCAGGCACCGCCAAATATTTCCGGGCGGTAATGTTTGGAACAATGGGCCGGCGGCTGCTGGTCTCGATTGGGCGGAGCGGGGCCGGCGGGACAGCTCTGAGTCAGCGGCTCCGCCCAGTCTCGGCCACCGCCGGCGCCGCTCAGCCGGCGGCCGCCTCTGGTGGTGCCTGGCAGACGAGGCGAGGCGAGCAGTGCTCAGACGACCGCAGCCACCAGGCCGGATGCTCATGAGCTCCAATAACACTCGGGTGACGTGGCCACCTGGAGACGATGTGAAGGCGCGCTGATTGCTTGTAAGCAGACGCGGTCGAGCCGCTCGTCGGCTGTGCTGTCTTCCATGATGGCTGCAGCGGCCGACACCCGGTCAGGTCGCACGCTTCTGTCCCGCTGAGACGCCACACTCGCCGGCAGCTTTGGATAGCTGGGTTACCGTACGGCCTTCACGAGCCGCGTGGCCAGGCGGTAGAAGTCAGCCGGAAAGGACACGAGGCAGGGGAATTAGAGCTCGGGAGGCAGGACGCAGGATCTTGCACTAACTAGAATATCGTGAAACGAGAAAGCAGACCGCTGCAGCAAACAGTGAAGCAACTACATTATAAAACGGACGGGCGAACACACATATGGCACCTCACGAGTGGGGCAGAATAATGAGCTTAAACGTGTAGTGTAAGACAGCAGTGCCCAAAGGTTACGGTTTCCGCGAGACGCTATCACCGTCGGGGCTTGTGGCGGTACAGACTGCACTCCCTGCAGAGTGGCTGGCCACCCTGGCAAGACTGCACTCCCTGCAGAGTGGCTGGCCACCCTGGCAAGACTGCACTCCCTGCAGAGTGGCTGGCCACCCTGGCAAGACTGCACTCCCTGCAGAGTGGCTGGCCAGCCTGGCAAGACTGCACTCCCTGCAGACTGGCTGGCCACCCTGGCAAGACTGCACTCCCTGCAGAGTGGCTGGCCACCCTGGCAAGACTGCACTCCCTGCAGAGTGGCTGGCCACCCTGGCAAGACTGCACTCCCTGCAGAGTGGCTGGCCAACCTGGCAAGACTGTACTCCCTGCAGAGTGGCCGGCCACCCTGGCAAGACTGCACTCCCTGCAGAGTGGCTGGCCACCCTGGCAAGACTGCACTCCCTGCAGAGTGGCTGGCCAGCCTGGCAAGACTGCACTCCCTGCAGACTGGCTGGCCACCCTGGCAAGACTGCACTCCCTGCAGAGTGGCTGGCCACCCTGGCAAGACTGCACTCCCTGCAGAGTGGCTGGCCAACCTGGCAAGACTGTACTCCCTGCAGAGTGGCCGGCCACCCTGGCAAGACTGCACTCCCTGCAGAGTGGCTGGCCTCCCTGGCAAGACTGCACTTACCGGTGTCGAGTGGCGTGTCGCCGGGCCGTCGGTTCAAACACCACCAGACCGGACCGTCACCAGCACACTGTCACCACGTCAGCACCATAATGTCACATCACCATCGCGTGACCCCGTCCTCTGACGCACTGCTTCGACAGGCTGCTCTTCTGGGCCAGGCCGGCGTGTGCCGCGCAGTGGCCGCCGCTGCACTCGTCTGTGGAGAGGACCGGGCCGGTTCAGTGTCGGCCGGAGCCGCTCAAAGGACGCCGTCCCCGGAGACGCCCGGTGCATCGCATTGTTTCAGCCAGACGCCGATGGTCGATGGCCGGCTGGCGCAGATCGAGCGGGGGGGGGGGGGGGGGGGGGGGGGGAGCGGCGGTGGGGCAGGAGAGGAACGAGAGCAGGAGGAAGGGCAGGGGCGGGGCATGACCGAAGGAGTGAGAGCGACAGCAGGAGTGCGGGCAGAGGAGGGCAGGGCAGGAGCCAAAGGAGCGAAAGCGAGAGCGACAAAAGGGGCGGGGGCGGGGCAGGAGCGAAGGAGCCAGAGCGCGACCAGGGGCGGGAGGCCGGGCTCGTCTGGACTGGCCCGACGCCCCGCGGCAGGGCTGGTGGCGACTGCTCACTATGCGGCCAGACGCGGTGCCGGGCGCCACCGAAGCCAGCGGCCGCGCACTGCCGGCTGCCGGACGGCCACTTTCACCCCCGACTGAGCATGGAAGCCGACGGCGCGGCCGCCGCCACCCGGCACCTCCCGGCCAAGCCGGCCGACAGCCGACCATCGATCTCAAGAGGTGCCAGCGGCGCTCGGCTTATCGGCGATGACCTCTCTAGGGGTCGATCGCGTTTAAATGGACCGCAATGGGTATTGGTTACCAGAAATGTGCTTTATGCGCGCTGTGGTGTTTCTGGTGCTGTGAAAGTGTTCTGGTTAAGAAACACTTTCAGGTATTCGCAGTAAAGTGGACGTGCAACTGAAAAGGCACTCAATTCAAATAACTATTTCAATACAGCATAACAAGAAATGGCTCAATTTATGCAAAAGGAATCATCATACTTGTGTGTGGCATTTTCCCACGCTGTCTCCAGCAAATCCATGGTCACTGTTTTTGGAACATATTTGGGATGTACTGAGCGGGCCAATTCTTGGCTACTTGTGCGAGGGAATGCGTCATCCAGACCTAAATCCTCGCCCGTTTCGCCACTTTAAGCGCGTACTGGGTGGAAGTAAGCACTACAAGCCCACCGACACCACACATGTGCCTCAGCAGCTATAGGAAAGCGAGGCCGCAACTACGCCTTTACAGTCTTACTCAAATCATCATAATCCGTACATCACGGTCGTCAAACGAGCTTACACTATGCCTTGTCATCTCTGACTTGCTCAATAAAACCTTGATCAGCATTGGCTGAAAGCAGCTCTAATGAGCTAAGGAGATGAGGAGCCCTCCCCGATTGTTGGGTGTTACGTGATTGTAAATATACATTTCACTTCAAAGTGTCCATGGAGCTTGCTCCAGTATGCTTAAATCTCATATTTGTCACGAGTTCACCTCCTGTAGGCAATTATGACATCAATTTCCAGATTTCACATGATGCCGCCATGTCTTTAAAATGATATTAGTGGAGCTCATAGATACTAAGAAAGTTCATCACATATCTAACTCACATCTCCACAACTGTCATTAAATGATCAAGGTGCCTGCATTGAATACAGATAAACAATGCTGATTTTTCACCACCAACCATATGACAGCACAGGTCATTCTAAAGCTGATCCACATTGGAGTTAACTATCATTAAAATGAGCATATTCAGCTCCAGCTAGCTGATGTATGTTGCTTGATGTCCCATCCCTGTTTTTGTAGCAATTAGCTGAATGAAATCTGCATATGGTGGAAAGTCTGCAAAGTTGTTGGCATAACTGAAAGCAAAAGAATAGCAATGTTTGTTGTGCATCTCATGTAAGATGCTACATAATTTTTCACCACCAACCATATGACAGCACAGATCATTCTAAAGCTGATCCACATTGGAGTTAACTACCATTAAAATGAGCGATTCAGCTCCAGCGCTAGCAGATGTATGTGTAACTTGACATCCCATCCCTGTTTCTGCAACAATAAGCTGAATGAAATCTGCACATGGTGCAAAGTCTGCAAAGTTGTTGACATAACTGAAAGCAAGAGAACATCAATATTTGTTGTGCATCCCATGTAAGCCAATACATAATTTCAACAGCACTTTTGCCAGGACAACTTTACACCACACCAAAGCAAGAAGGGATGTTGAAAACCTGCAGCAGACCATGGATTAAGACATGAAGACATGAGAGACCATAGATTCACTCTGAATCCACATATATGGCCTGAGTTAAACAATATTTTGGAGATGACTGCTTCTGAAGGAGTTTAAAAAACAGTTGCAAAATCAGGAATGGTTTCAGATGTACCTCAATCAAAAACTTCCCTGTGCTCAATACCTATTCACATAAAAGTCCTTAACAAATTGGCAGAGATGAGATGAACCAACCAAGAACAACCTGTGCATGTGCATCATACACAAGACCACAATCGTGCACGCCAGCCTTAGCTCGCTGTCTTAGAATGTACTCATCTTTCAGCCATGATAAAGAATGAAATAAACAAATTTGGTGTTGATAGTATCTCAAAGTCAATATGAATAACCAGATAACCCAGCACGCATGTTCTAGAAACTCTGCAAAGCTTGCCAGTCATAGTCATTTTCATACAAAATAAGTCTTGTTTAACTATAAATGCTTGACATGACTAGAACTCCACAAGTGTGGGACCCGTTGCAGCGGACTTTTTTGCACGCTGGCACATACACATGCATTTCCGCCGTTGTTTACATGTACCAAAACTGATGGCCTCCATGTGGAAGTACTATGCAGCTCAACTTGTCTCAAAATCCATGGCAACTCATCAAAACAAAGATGGAGGACATGGAACAATTTTTGTGATGTGCGGGCAAAAGGCTTTTACATTCTTCTTACAAGGCTTCAAAGACTTTCAGACAATTACATCACTACAAATGCTGTGTCGCAGGTTTCAAAAATAGAGCAGCAACATCAAACTGAAGAGATTTACATGGCTCACTCCATATGTGCACATAAATCATCTTCGTTACAGCAGAAATATTCATAACAAGAAAAACAGCAAAAATGATCATATTGCCTTATATTCGGCCCAGGTGAATATTTCTACCTCCTTTAGACAAACTATTGTACTAAATCTAACAAGGACATAATAACTGATAATAGCAACAAACATGATACATACTCTTAAAAACCAGAACTCATAATAGCAAAAAAAAAACATAAAATGGTGACATCTTACCCATCCATCACAATCTATGTAAGAAAACTAATAGCTTGACCAGATCAGTCTGCAACACTGGTATGACAATAATAATGCACCAAAGCCATCCTGACCAATCATGGCCATCTTTTCTGTTCAAGGTAGAGCTTTTACATATCAAGCACTGGTTGTCGACTAGTTGGCATAGTCAGCATAGAAAATGA